CATCTAACAAAAGTTAAATTTGAAAGGATACTTCTATTATATCTTTCTGCAAAAACAAAATTTTATTCCAACAGTGTTATATACCGTGCTAATAGGAATATATACTTGGAAAACACGGTGAATAAAATAAGTAAAGGTGAATAAAATAAGTAAAGGTTTATTGTAAAAACCAGTATAATAAGAAATAAGGTAACAGTTATGTGCACGATCGTCACAAGTCCAGTAGTGAGGGCTACTATTGGAAGGTCGGTAGTTCTCGAGTAAGTCTGAGTCGTACTCAACAGATCCCAGATAGACAATGCTTACCCGTCTCCCCACAAGGTAGGATGTGACACAAGGCTGAATCTAATGTTGGGCAATCCGAGCCCGTGTGCATAAACGGGTTCGGGTCTGTCTACCTCCTCGGACGAGACTCTGCCCTTCGGCATAGCCTCATCCGGGTTCCTCTCTGCCTGAATGCAGATACTTTGACAATCTGAGCTGAATAACAAATCCCAGCTAGACGATATATACCAGCCTCCCCACGAGGTAGGATGTGGCACAAGGCCGAGTTTAATGTGGGATAATCCGAGCTCGTAGGCTCGGCCAAACATTCTCCGTATTAAACGGGGTCGGGTAACAGCCATCACTGAATTTGTCTATTACGCTTGTTAGGTAACAACGGCGAAGCTTAGCCTGTGGCCTAAGATATCTCAAAATCGCTGACCGAGTTTGGTATACTGATCTTATCCACAAGCTCAATAACTACGCTATATCTGGGCGAATATTTGACCTATTCCAATCGTTTTTTTAAAGGTCGTGTCGCTTAGTTCATTTCTTACTAATGGAGTGGTTCGTCAGCGCTCTATCCTCGGACCTACGCTGTTTCTGATCTTCAACGCCCTTCCGGATGCCATCAGTTCCCAACTAGGTATCTCTGCATACCACACAACTATTTGTTCCTGTCTTACTAGAAAGTCCGACTGATCTGACAATTTAAAACTGGTAAATTTCCTTGAAAAGTACCTCCAGTCAGTGGTTAACTATGGCAAAGAAATGGCTTGTAAATTTCAACACCTCCAAAACAAACTGCTTTCGTTAAATCACCAGAGATAATCTTCTCTGCCTTTTCAAGCATTTTCTCGCCTGTAGAACTCCCTTCCAAGATGTTGATTCCATGCCACCGGTCATTTTCTCTCCTAATGAATAATGTTTATTTATTGTTCTTTTCCTCGCTTCTCACTAATTTCTTCTCGTTCTCCTTCACTCCATGTAACTTCTTTCACTTTTTAAAATCATTTCACTCCAAGCAAGCACCACCACTTGGAGTGAAATGATTTTAAAAAGTGAAAGAAAAATCTCCAAGATAAGCCTCAATTCTATGTTTCCCTGATGGCCAGGTTAAAAACATTTATAAATGGGCTGTTTTCACCTTCCACCATATTTTATTCATGCTTCGAATTAAAATTTTTCGGTTTTGAGAGATTTCTTGACAGATTTCCCTGAATGGAAAAGAAGTTTCAGTTCACTGGAAGACTATAAAAGACACATGGAGAATTTCTTTACCGGGGTAGATAGAAATTGTGGGAGAAGGCTTTTCATTGAGGAAGGTAATGGAACAAAATGCAAAATATGTTCTACAATGAAGTTAATCTCCAAAATAAAAGAAAATCATTCCGTTTCATAAAGACAATGAACATGTACACGTTGTCAATGTAAATTAAATTCAGTTTTAATAAAATATTCAAAAGTTATTGATGAATCGGTTTTTTTTTTTTTACATTTATTCCTAAAAGACGTTTCATAAAAAATAAATATTGGCTTTTACAGAGAGTGCATAGTTTTCCCATTCATTTTAATCCCTCGACCAATATGTTGATTCTTATGTGGCTTGTAGCACATCGATATTTATAAAATTGCTCAAAGATTTTCATCAGAATTTTCATTGCATCAGATTTTCCTTTTTTCATCGTCTTTATCTTAGACTTTCACTGTTTTATCTAACATTTTCATTGTTTTTAATCGGGAATTCTCATTGTTTTTAATGTAACATTTTCATCGTCTTTATCTAAAACTTTCACTGTTTTATATAGCATAGTCATTGTTTTTAAACTAACGTTTTCATTATTTCGATCTCAATGACTTTTCCTAGGATTTCCATTGTCCATATGTAAGATCTTCATTATTATAATGAATGTGATTTTATGACATCTGGACTCCCATCTAAGCGTTATATTAGTGTAACTATAGCTTTACGTCGTTCCTCGTTCTATAGTTAATTATCTATCTTCGTAATGTTTAGGCAGCCATTCAAGTTAATAAATTGGTAAAATGTGAGTGAAATGATGAAATGAGTCAGCGTTATTTAACGAGCAAATCGTACATGTAATGAGAATAGTCTTAACATCTGGAAGGATACAAACACAAAATACTCAGTAGTGGAACCAACTTTTATTAGATTGCCACTAATGAACTTGAAAAGATTAATTCTGCATCTTTATATGTAAATTTACAGTGAAATCTTTCAATAAATATACGATGTATGTAAAAAAAACAAGATAGAAACAAGTTAAAAGATGACGATATCTGCATATAGCAAAAGCTCAATATAATTATTCTGTTGCTTTTATTCTAGCGAAAGGCAATTTCACAAGACGACATATTTGGGTGAAAAGTATTTGGAAGAAGCGAAAATCTAAGATGAGTTTTCGTAATCCCGTCGAGTAAATAAAGCAGATTGTTGGAATTAAAGATTCCAGTTGGATTGCATCCCAAGTTAATAAACGAGAAAGAAAAGAAACCAAACTAACAAGAAATATGGCTTTCTAGAAGATTTCTATAAAGTAAATAGAAATATGAAAATGAAAAATAAATTAAGATGAACACAGAATGACAAGCGAATGAGAGGTTATTGACTAGAAACTCGAAAGTAAAGAAGAAACTGCCTAGCTGTAAAATATATTAGAATATCCTCTTAATAAGCCATATCTCTCCATCTCTCTCTCTCTCTCTCATATATATATATATATATATATATATATATATATATATATATATATATATAGTTAAATTCCCAATGAATTCTGGACAAGACAGATTGGTATCAAATGACAATTGGAAAAAAATCTTACATTTTGCCGACGCGTTTGTAAACTTTTCAAGGCAAAAATGAAATCGAAATGTTTATCTTTTTATTTTTTAATTTTAATGTAACTATAACAAAAAAACATTTCGATTTCATTTTTGCCTGAAAAAAATCGGAAGAAAAAATGACGATATATATATATATATATATCCATCTCTCTCAATATATATATATATATCTATCTCTCTCTCTCTCTCTCTATCTATATATATATATATATATATATATATATATATATATATATATATATACAGACGTTACCTAATATTTTTGAATGAAAATCTTTCTTGAAACTTTTAATTTCGTTTTAATTTCAAGCTCATAGATTAAATGTAATATTTCAGTAATACTTTTGCTGTACTTCTACTGTAGCATACCTACGGATGATAATGGGTTTGTCCCCATTCACATAAATACAGTAGTAAATACTGTATGTTCGTCTGCAGTTGAAGGTTCGTTTTCAACTGTGCTCGGCAAACTCTCTGACTCCGAGCAGAAAGAATCCACAGACGAAGCTATCTCGAAGGGCAGAATCTCGTCCCGGGAAACAACTACACGACTCCGTTCTATACGGGGAATTTTTGGCCGAGCCTATAGGCTAGGATATCCAACATTAAATTCGTCCTTGTGCCACATCTGACCTCGTGAAGTGGTTGGTAGATATCCTGCAGTTGAAGATTCATTGTGGAATTCCCTTGACTCACTTCTAGCAGTTGACTACTTATTCTACGCGCCTTTGTGTTGTTCTTGTCCTAAGTATTATCGTTCATTACCAACCTTCGTTTGATTATTCTATTCAGTAACCTTCCCTAAGTTACAACAACTTCAAAACTAATTTAAATTAACTGGAAAGAGATTTTTATTTGATAAAAATTTGATTTCAATGGCATTTTTAGCCCACGTTTGTCGCAATGTAATTCTCGCTTTTAAAAAAAATCTTCCAAAAATAAAATATACTTTTCTGAAACTTTATTTAAGAAATATTAGCTGATTTAAAGTATAATTAATCTGATTTGAAATAAATACTATTTACTTTAAGTTTAAAATACTTCAGAAATTCATTTTTAACAAGGTGATAGCTGCTTATTTAAGATGTTGATGTTTTGTCATCTTGATGACAGATGGAATTTATCTAATGTTGTTCTACGGGGAGGCTTTATATGTAAACAATAATTAAAGAATATAACATGAGCGCCTTTTTGTATAATCTTTAACTACTCAGTGGCCTTTAAAAAATTAGGAATATATTCTCCGTTTTTCTCTTGGCTTGGCTTCGCGAACAAAGATTTATGAAGTGGGCTGTTCACGACGACAGCAGGCACGCTGAATGACCAGGAACTGGGACAGTCCGCAGCGACTGCAATTAAATGTTTGGTCTGGTATTTTTCCTGAGGCTTTCGGTTCTTCCTCCCTCGGTGTTTCTCCTTCAGGTTGGCTCTGCGAGTATCCTCAAATGTGGAGACAGGCTTGACGGTCAGCATCAAGTGTCGACAACTGGCGATGGTCAATGTGGTAGGTACCGAGAGACTTCTTGAGGGAATACTTATAACGCTTCCTTGGTGCCCCTGTAACGGTGGCCAGTGAAGAGTACGCTATACAGGGCTAATTTGGGTAGACGATGGTCCCCCATTCTGGAGACAAGCCCTACCCAGCGTACCTGTGACTTCATTAACATGGCTGGTGATTTGCGCCTCTTCGAGGACCTCAACGTTGGTGACGTAGTTACTTCAGTGAATGTTGAGGATGGTACAGATACAGCGCTGATGGAAGCGATCAAGGAGTCGTAAGTGGTGACCGTAGGCTATCCATGACTCGAAGCCGTACAGAATCCAGAATCTTTAGCCAAAAGTGCTGTTTGCCTTGGCCAGTCTGTTGTCTACTTCCCTGTCGATCTTGGCATACGATGTGATGTACACCGCAGGTAAGTGTACTGGTGAACTGCTTTCAGCTCAGTCTCGCTGATGATGTGGGTAGGTCGGTACTCTTCTCGAGGTGCAGGCTGGCGGAGGACTTCCGTCTTCTTCGAACTGATCTCGAGTCCGAAGAGCTGGGCAGCCTCTGCGAAGCAGGATGTTATGCACTGCAGAGCTCTTTCGGTGTAGGCGACGAGGGCAGCGACGTCGTTGAAGAGGTCACGGAACAGCTGCCTGCATTTGCCTGAAGTTAAACTAACTGCCGTTAAAACGGTAGTGGATGCACACAACATCGTCATTGTCAATGGCTTCTGTGGCCTGTATAAGCATCATGCTGAAAAAGATGGTAAACAGGGTCAGTGCCAGAATACAACCCTGTCTCACGCCATTGACTATGAGGAAGGGTACAGATAGGTCGTTGTTCAACCTGACTTGGCTGCGCTGGTCTTTGTGCAGTTGGATAAAGCTGCCTGAGGTCGAACGCCATGTCTATGGTGACCCTGTTGGCTCTGAAGCCACACTGAGTTTCTGGTAGGTGGTCTTTAGCGATAGCGGGCACCAATCTAAAATTGAGTAAATGTGGGGGGTGGGGGTGCTAACAGATGTAAAAAATATTTTTATGAAGATTTTCTAAAAAATTTTGTAAAATAATTTATTTCAGTTGTGAATAAGTCCTGAAAGTTTCATTAAAGTCCGACAATTGATTTTTACAAGAACTTCCAAATCAATGTGTTTTTTCGGCAAAAATAGACGCTAAAATTTCCTAGACTAATCAATTACCAATCAATTCCCACCTCTTATCGTCGCTGACGCAAGAAAAAAAAATTAATTCAAATTTCGAACGTGTTAGGAAAGGGTTAATAAATTTAATAAAATAATTAAAAAATACTTTCGTCTTTCCTCTTAATAATAACATAAGCATTTTGACGATAAAACTTTCTTTTTATTAAATTTGGGGCACATATTTCATCATTGTATGGTCATTTTTAAGCGAATTAATTACACAATTTACACACACACACACACATGTATATATATATATATATATATATATATATATATATATAGCGGGTCAGTAGCTAAATGGTAAGTGGGAAAAGTTTTTGTGTAACGCGTTTAGGACTTCTTTAGTCCTACGAAAGCTTTTTCCATTTTACATAGTTTTTTTTGTTTGTTTTTTTACATAAAATATATAAAGCAATAAAATATCTAAGTAGCAGTAATTGATCCAAATAAGTTGCATTAAATTTCACTGAAAAGTTCTGTCTATTCAAATTTTATTATAACTTACCAGTTTCCGAATGAGTTATTGTACATCGGGATTGAAGTTATGAATAGTAAGTTCATGCTTTTTCTGTTATATTCAAGAACTTTCGACTATCATAGTCACTGTCAAGAACTGGGTGTTTTCAGTAGGTTAAGCAAGATTTTTCTTTTTTTGACTAAATTCTGTTTGTTTTAAGATTGCTGTCATTGAAATTGGAACCAGTTCAAAGTGGCGTCATATGTAAGTTTTAAACGGAAAAAATATATATATAGTTTTTTTTAGACATTTCCAATTTTTATCTTATATTTTGGGCTGTTCCTTCTGCTTCAATTAATTTTTAGGTATTTTCCTCTTCCTTTTTCTATCTTGTCAACAAGTTTCTGCAGTTTTTATAGATACCTTTATTAACTTTGTTGTTTCACCAATATAAATTGTATCTTGTTTACTACCTTATACCAGCAAATAAATTAATTTTATTTTTCTTATTTTTTACTTAAGTCTTTTATGACTGAATATGTTTTGGGGTGATTTTTAATTTAAAATTATCAGAAATTATCTGAGAAACTGAATTTGTGGGTGACGCAACACAGCCATTGTAAACGCAAAATCAATTCTAAAACGTCTTTGCCTAATAGAGATCTCTCTTTAACACAAACTTCATGCTATTGTATATATTCTGCGAGAGTTTATAGTGATCGTCTCAGTCAGAGAAATGTCTTCATTGTAATGTGTGTGTTTAGTAGCATGGATATGAGGCTGTATATTGCCTTTCTATTGTACGAAGGGCAACATGACATGTGGAATGATGTTCGGGCGCTATACGTTCCACTACAAAACAACATATTTGAATTAGAGTTATAACTTATGACACATCAAGGCAATGGCCCCAGCAAGTGTTCCACTGTATCCTCGAAGGTCATTTGGAGGATTCTTTGACCTTCAAGATGCTCGAGAACTTTATTTTTTTTTACATTTCCTAACACATTCTATATGCATATAACCTTGGTGTGCAAACCCCCAAAATTCATCCAATTCCCAATGTATTACTTTCCCTATAAAATCATATTTTTATAATCGTAGTAGTAGTAGTAAAGTTTTAAAATAAGATGGGCACATTAAGTTATCTGTCAATTCACAACACGGACCTCAGATAGACAACTTTTTCTTCAAAATATGCACAGTGCTGAAAAAAACTTATATTTGGATGACTTCAAGTGGTATCCCCACTGGTGAAGAAAGTCGCACAGTTGTAATTGATTGGGTTGATCCCAATACGCCAATTACCATTAATAATAATAATAATAATAATTATTATTATTATTATTATTATTTTTATTTTCTTTGATTTCTGGCGTTTACATTTCTTTCCGGGTCCCGCCCAGGACCTAAGGTTAGAAATGGCGTCATGACACTTTCCACTGAAAAAAAAAAAAAAAAAAAATTACATAGATAAAGCCCTTCATAAAGTGTGGGCTGTACTTGTCAGAACAATTTTTTGTATCTCCTTGTGGCATGGACTTCCAGGAATCCCTTCAATTATTATTATTATTATTATTATTATTATTATTCGCACTTAAGTTTTCATGCTAGCAGTAACATGTAGGCTAGACTGTAGATTGACAGCAAATCTTCGCTGAACTCCAGCATTCTCTTCCATAGTCCATCAACGAATAGTGCAACTGTCACCTTCCTGTTCTCATATTTCTTCATTCCGCTGGCATGGTCATGATAGTTAACTAGCTTTTTGCTTTCTTTAATTTTTACTCTATAGTTTACTGGAACCGACAAATCCAATTTTTTTTGCCTTTTATTTGTTTATAATAAAATACCAGACTGAATTAGATTCGCCATTTTTATTTCTAAGTTTTTAGATGCTTTTGTGTTTTTACTTTCTCTAATGCAGAATCTCTCCCGTACCTGTAGCATTGCTCAGTATGCTCGAATTGGGGTTATTATTATTATTATTATTGATGCTAAAAGCAAAACCCTATCGGCATTAGAGTGGCTTTAAGTGAAAGTAAAAATGTAACTCTACTGTGGTGGGAATGGTTGTTTTAGTTTCGGCAGTTATCTTGTAATCATTTGCAGTCTGTACAGATATTTTCTAGACTGTGTATTTGGAGAGAAAACCAAGAACGCAAGAAGAAAAGTAGAGCTTGTGAATTAAGTACAACGATATCCTCATCCATCAGATTTGACACTGATTGACAAAGGAAGCTGGAAAAAGATGCATATTGCTCTGAATGGTTCGTTTTAAATACATAGAATTTGTTTCGTTTTTTCATGTACATTGATATCTGCTTCTTTCAAACTACTGCCCATGTGTGCGCGCATATGCGCATGCGCGTGCGTTGTGCGTGCGCGCGCGCATGTGTGTGTGTGTGTGTGTGTGTGTGCGCGCAGTGGATATCAATCCCATTTTTCTGTTTTTTTCACCCAAAACTTATTGCCTATGATTAACGTTTCCAGGGTTATTTACATAATTATGAGCGATAAGATTCTCATACATATATTCACATGAAATACAAACTTGGTTATAGTTCTATCGAAAGCGTACTATAAATCATTCAAAAACCTGAAACAAAACGAACAAATTAACCTGGAGAATGAGAACAAAAGTATCAGCTTACAGGTCACAACAATATAACCGTAGCCTGGAGTGGGGATAGAAAGAATTACCTTCATAGAATAAGTTAAATTAGGATCTAAAAGTTACGAATTCATTTCAAAATGCAGACATGAAAAACATTTTCTACGTTACTTCCAACTCCATGATCAAAAGAACGAAATTAATCCTAAAACATAGAAACAAAGAAATTGCACGAAAGAAATATATATAAACAAATAAGTGAAGTATATACAAATAAAATTAATAATAAATGAACAAGTAATATATATATATATATATATATATATATATATATATGTGTGTGTGTGTGTGTGTGTGTGTGTGTGTGTGTGTGTGTGTGTGTGTAAATTTTACTTTAAATCAGCTAATATTCCTCAAATAAAGTTTCACGAAAGTATATTTTATTTTGGAAGATTTTTTTTTAAATATTATATTGCGATGAAAGACAAATAAAAAAGGGCGCCAATCAGCTATTTTAGGAAAAAATTAAAAATCGATTCCAATCAATATAATTTCTGTTTGAAATACACTACTACAATATTACTACACTACAATATTTTGCTTACGTAAATTTAATTTTTTAGTTTTGAATTAAAGCTAAACTGAAATCTTCAAGCAAGCTTTTTTTTTAAAAATTAATTTTAAACATAGGTATCGTTATTTTAGTGGTGGTACCTATATGTAGGCAATATAGACTGGTTTTATACATAAACCAAGACTATGTGCATTCACTCTTTCTCCAACTACCCAACCAGCATAAATACAGATTCTGGAGGTCATGACTATTGATAACAATTATCATTAGCGGTAAGTAAAAAGAGAAAAAAATGGTAAAGACGAATTTCCTCCATCCAATTTCAACTTTACTCCAAATAACCCTCATAACAAATTCGCTATGTATACAAGACGCTTGCATTGAAGATTGTGTTGAAACACGAAACTGACAGTCATTTGTAGTGTTGATGCCTATTTCCACACACTGTCTATGATTCGTATATCTATAGACGTTCTATCTTCAATAATCAGCTTTCTTCTCCCATAAATGTAAGAAATATATATATATATATATATATATATATATATATATATATATATATATATATATATATATAAACAAATTTAATTCAATTTGATTCAAATAATTATATTGAAATTTCTTTTTTTCTCTTATGTAGCGATGGAATCATACTTCTAAATAAATAATTATATTTAGGCTCTACTTTTGTATCGAGCACTGTTTTTTTTAAATAACAAAATACTAAAGAACTTTGGATTATTCACCTAACGAGTTCTTTCCTATTTTCTATATATTTTCACAACACACACACACACACACACACACACACACACACACACACACATATATATATATATATATATATATATATATATATATATATATATATATATATATCATAGGATATTAATGACAAAGTTCGACGATGTGTTAAAGGATGAAACGCATTTGACGAAAAATAGTTTTTCGCTTTGTCATTAATGTTTCTTATATAGGCATGATTATGAAAGAAAATATACATACGCACATATACTTGCACGTAAGTATAAATAAATTTTTACCTAAAGTGTTATAAATACACTGCTCAATGTTATGTGACAGCGCTATAAATATATATTAGTGAATATGCGTAATATCCAACGCCAATATCACGACTCGGGGTTTCATGCAATTGCATCTGAGTCGTGCCATTGATGTTAGATATTATGCATATTCAGTAATATATATATGTATATATATATATATATAGAGAGAGAGAGAGAGAGAAAGAGAGAGAGAGAGAAAGAGAAAGAGAAAGACAGAGAAAGAGAAAGAGAGACAGAGAAAGAGAGAGAGAGAGAAAGAGAAAGAGAGAGAGAGATCGACAGAGAGAGAGAGAGAAAGTGAGAGAGACAGAGAAAGAGAAAGAGAGAGAGAGAGATAGAGAGAGAGAGAGAGAAAGTGAGAGAGACAGAGAAAGAGAAAGAGAGAGAGGCAGACAGACAGACAGACAGAGAGGGAGAATGAATTGTATATATTTTGTTTATTTGCTGTAATAAATTTAATATTGGTAAGTAGGCCAGTAATTCTTCATTTATACACGTTTTGTTGAATACCAACGGTAGTACTTTGGTTAAATGCTTTAAAATCATTTCTTTTAGTTACATTTGGATCATTAGTCTGCTTTTCAGGAAGAATTTCAACATAAATTATCCAATAGTTGATGTTTGAAAGCCGAAAGTTATCCTAAGACGTCGGAAAATCTTTATTGAAATTAATCCGGCAAACCAGAAAAATATTCGAACGCATGAACACACACACACACACACACACACACACACACACACACACACACACACGCATATATTTTGTTTAGCCTTTATTTTTCTCATCTCTCTATATTTCTGAGATGAGGCATTGTAACTTTTTACTCTATTTACATTGTTCGGACGAAATAAAGTGACCGATTCGAAACCCCAAACGTATATCAACTGAAGATGGCCGGAGCGTAAAACGTCAGGGACTTTAGTTTTCGCTTTTTTATAACTCATGACAGCTTTTAGAAATTAGACATTTATCCAAAGTACGAAATGTGTACGTGCTTAGGCTGAGTACTAACTGAACCCTACAGTGTCTGCGAGTATATGAAAGCGGGTGCCTTTGTCTACCCGTTCCCCCTACCATTCTACTGCATTTTATTGCTAACTCTCTGATTCTATAAACTCAAAGATAATGGGAAATGGATTGGAGAGATAGTTCTGCTTACCTATGATCGATCAGCCCAAAGCGCTTTTACTCTTCTCACGGACAAAATGGGCAGACAACGTCCTGTAAGTTTAGATGTGCGGCTGGTGTAATAAAATGCGGCTCGTGATTGGAAATCGAAATGTCGAGTTCCGATTCCAGTTGGGTTTGTTATGCTCACATACGCGGAAATAGTCTTACGAGAGGCATGAATCCGCCTCTTATCTACTGAGTGTTGCCCTGACTGCATGAATTTAAGCATGCTACTCTATTGGCATCTAGATCCCGTTCTTTTACTGTTGAAATGCCTAAATCCAACCGCCCCTTCTACACCAACAGTTTCCTTTCTCACACTACCCGCCTGCGTAACTCTATTCCGTTTATTTACATTCTTCGGAGTGTTGTCTTCATTTTTGTCACCATATTCCCGACGTTTCGATCGTTGTACATTCCGGCATTCTTCGGGTAATTGGAATTTCGAACAGAAACTTTTATTTCGCCCACCGGGGTAGATTGTTCTAGTTCCACGTACCATGCCTCTTCTGGATGTTTTAGTTATCTCCCATATAACTCAACTCTCGGATATGTTTTGGTCTCTCTTGCTCCTACCAAAAGAACGCTGGAAAAACTAAAAATTTCCTTGACATTCATATTCAACGATATATATATATATATATATATATATATATATATATATATATATATATATGTCATGGGTCCTTACCTATAACTACAGAATGAACTCTTCCTAATACTATGAAGACTACGCCTCTCAAGAGAGAGGGACGAATCAAGCCGAGCTTGTCGGCTTGACGGTCGAACTCTCTGCCTCTGTTCAGAGAGGAACCCGGACGAGGCTCCACCGAAGGGCAGAATCTCGTTCGGGGAGGTTGACCAACCCGATTCCGTTTAAACGGGTTCTACGGGCATTTTTTGGCCGAGCCTACGGGCACGGGAAACCCACGTTAAACTCGGCCTTGTGCCACATGCAATCCTCGTAGGGGGTGACTAGATACCGAATCGAGCCGAGCTTCTCGGCTTGACGGTCGAACTCTCTGAGCAGAGAGGAACCCGGAGGAGTATAATTGTGAGTGTTACAGAAGAAACAGTGATTGAAGAAAGCTTTTCGACAGAAACCGGGGTTCAAGTAAGTTCAAGAGTTTCTGATATATATATATATATATATATATATATATATATATATATATATATATATATATATATATCAGAGACTGTGACAGAGAGAGAGAGAGAGAGAAATAGATAGAGATAGAGAGATTTTTCTGTTTATATGTTTTTTTATACATACAAATATTTAAATAGATGCTCCCTTTATAATAAACAGTATTAAATGTAAATGTCGTTAATACTGTTTATTATAAACAAAGCATTTACATAAATATTTGTATCTATAAAAGATGAGGTATAAACAGAAAATATATTAAAATAATTGTCGGAATTAGTCCATTTGATTTTATATATATATATATATATATATGTGTGTGTGTGTGTGTGTGTGTGTGTGTGTGTGCTCATTTACATGCCGGAATGAAAGTAGCACTACTTCCACAGATCCTAATATTTCTAACAAATTCAAAATAACTCGAATCTTTCTTGTTGAAATCCACATTCAACCTGAATATTTTAACCCATTGCCTAAGGAAGGTGCAGTTCAGTTACCATTTACGATTATTCAGTGCAAATAGTGAAATATTTTTAAAAAATACCTTCTTTTTTTACTCTTAATTCTTCATATTTGACTATAATTTTAAATTGCATGAATTAAAAAAAAATGCAAACGAAAATGGTTTTGCTGGAAACCAAAGAATAGAAAACTCCACGTTCGCGGTTCAGATTTCAAAGTATGCTACAATGCCTGTCCAAAATCAGTTTTTATACATATGACATGTCCTTTCTTTTTCTTTTAAGAACTTTTATTACTATTTTACACGCAGGAATCACACAAGACTTACTGAATAGAGTTGTTTTATGGGCGTAGATTTAAGACTGGCATAAGGATATGTAGGATAGATAACGTTTATCCCTAAACATAAACAGGTTAAGCTTGTAGCATTTGGGTAAACATTCTTTCAGGAGGCTGAGGTTTTAAAACTAGGAATATTTTCATTTTTGGAGTAGTAATATGCTTTGGGAAATGAGAAAAAAATGATATTGACTTCTTGAAGGAAATAAGGAGTACTTATTGGCTGGAAGAAATATCTATTTGATGCCATCATTCCCAACAAGCAAGTTTTAAGGAAAACCGGAACAAAAAGGACCTTTATATTTAAAATCAGAAAAAAATAGAAGAAATTTCTTGGATACATCATGAGGAAAGACGGCTTGGAGAATTGAAAGCAAGAAGGACAGAGGAAGTCATCAAGTAACTCCCCTAATGAGCTTTTGCAAGTGGTTGGTAGAGACTGGGGCGGGACAGGACTACAAAGGATGGAATGTTTGACCAGCGATAGCAAAATGAGATCCAATCATTCCAATAACAAGTTTAATTAGATCCGATAATATTAATTGAATTAGATTACACCGTCTATGATGGTACGCGATCCCCTCAATTCGGAAGTTTGATCATTTTGTCAGATTTGGGGAAGTAGCGAAACCTTTCAGCACCATCTTAGGCTTATATGCAAGTATATACGGCATATGTGTACCATATAGACACGTGCATAAGCCTAATTCATGTATAGTGCGACCACTGAATGTTCTTGTGAAAAGCTTGGTTTTTCTTACGTCTTGCGTATAATGCGGCCCAAGCTCCTGATTAGTAGGCCTACGTAGTCAAATATTGCAGTACTGGGCATCACCATGGATATATTTTATAGTAAACTAGCAGCATGGCCCGGCGTTGCCCGTGCTTGATTCAAAAATCGTACGACTCATACAGCAATCGCTATCACTTGACTTACTTCTTGCCTATCTCACACTGCGAATTTTTTCTAAGCTCTATACTAAACATTAAATCTGTTACGAAAAAAGAACTAAACAAAATGAACACAAAACGATCAGCTTTAAAAAAAGGACTCGTAACTGGAAAAACCGAATGAAAAAAGAATGTTAACAACAAATACTTTTTCATACCCAACCCAGTTCTGCAGAATCAGAATCAACGTTGAGTTTAAGCAAGAGAATGAGCCAAATGGAGTAAAGTGCCATGCAGGTTTAAATTTTTCCAACTTGTGATGAATGCAGCTATCGATTTTTTTTTTTTTTGCATGGTAGCATGCTAGTTAACATTCATGTCAGTCAGCTGTTGGCTCTTACCTTAGCCAATAGAATCTTCCTGCCTATTCGTGGCGTCCAGCTATAGGCTCTCACTCTAGCCAGTAGAAAATGGCCGCAAACTACATGAAAACTGCTGTAGAAGCATGAAAAACCGATTATTTCCACTATCAAGGGGAGTTGGGAAATGCGATGTCGGTCTTGGCCTTTCCGCTAACTTGGAGCATGTGCATGTAAATTTTGGTGCAAATCCGTCGAAAATTGCGGCCGTGCATTCGTTACACACACACACACACACACACACACACACACACACACACACACACACACACACACACATCCTGCCTTTTATAGATCGAGATCAATGGTGTTTTCTGGACAAAGCTACTCCAAAATAGTGAGAAAAAACACTTACTCTAAAATAGATATTTTAGAGTAAATGTTAAATATGATATTTTTGTTTTCGTTCATGCCTGACTACGGTAGCTCCTTTATCCTGAGCCAGTTTCTTTCATTTTGCAACCATCTTTTGCCTTATATTTGCGGTACATCAAAATATTTTAAGAATATGTAACGGAAAATTATAAGATGAAATAATATTGGTAAATATAAAGAATATAGTAAATAAAAGTAATTACAAACAGAGAAACACAACTGGAACATGTACAGTATAGATACGTATCAGACAAAGGAGGCGCCATTGGAAAAGCAATACCTTAATGATGAAAAAATGTGCGAACAAAGATGAAAGCACGCTGGAAAAAAGACAAAATAAAACATTGCTAATTATTTATTTATAGAAGGTTTTTGTAGATTTTAATCGACACACTATCTGCTGTAGTACCAGAAAGAAATAATCTAGGTTCCGGGAGGCAGGCTAAAGATGCTTACCTGTACATTTTTGGTTAGCCGTGAGAATGTAGGCCTACCAGGTTGGTTATGGACACCAGATATGCATGAATTTTAACACCTGAAAAAAAGTAACCTGGGTATACTGTTGAAAATGCATGCTTTTTAACCTCTTCAAAAAATTACCTGTTTCTATTGCGACACCCTATTTCTTTCGTAAAACACAAATTAAAAATACCCGCCCTATAATCGTATATATACGATAGCCGTGTTTTCGTGTTTTGCATGTCAGCACGCATATCGGGTATGATTCAAGATGTGACGTTTTGACTGTATTATTCGTTATTTCACGTCTTATAATTCCAAAGGTAGTGTCCTCTGGTCATTCTTTCATTGCATACCGGTCTGTAAAATTAGGTGTAGGTTCTTCTGCGTAGAGGTCGTTCGCCACCACACACCTATTTCATACGAAAACGACGCAAACAGAAATATATTCATCATGCTTTTCTGGACTACTATCTTCATGTTACACTAAAGGAATCGGAAGCCCTAACACCCGGGGAAACGATGATGAACTGGGTTTTCAAAAATACCTAAAATATCGAGCTACTATTAAATCTTGTCCTCATAGGGAACCAATCAAATAGTAATTTTCTAGAGCAGGGTTTTTCAAACTTTTTGACTTGCGGATCCCTTTATATTTCAGGCTTTACCTTAGGGACCCCCTTATAAACGCTTATGAAATTTATACATAAATATTTGCTGAATATAACATAATTTTGCATTAATGCAATAAAAGCTGATTTGAAGCTTACTTTAGACATAAGTGTTCAAATAAATTAATGCTGCATGTCAAATTCAAATCATTTGGTTCCTTCTCTGCATAAATAGAATCCATTATCTTTATCGATATAAGATACAAATTATATTAGTATATCAAATCTATGAAATAGTTTATTGAATCAATTTATTTCATGATCGGCCTAGAAGTTACTTATAAACGCTTATAAGTTGCACGTCACCCATAAAAAAGTCTTTGCTGTCCACAGACCCCCTATCTTGTCCTTGCGGACCCCCTGTGGTCCGCGGACCGCTGTTTGAAAACCCCTGTTCTAGAGTACGCCAGAATTCTGTAAGAACATTCTGTTTAGAGTAACCGGTGACTTCTTGATAATGTATTTTAAAAAGGCTAGATTTCGTATCTACCATTACGCTTTTCGTATCTGTATTAAAGATCATTGTAACAGGATAGTTTGTGTTTGTCCGCCTCATCCGGTTAGTTTTTTAAGTTCCAGTTAATTCTGCAGCTAATTTCTCTTCGGTGATTCTCCAAAGAGAATACCATGTCTGATTGCCGATTGGATATTCCAATATGCGTTGTAAATGATCATTACAGCCCGGATATATCCGAATGTGGACTTAGACATTCAAACTTTAATCAGACGACCTGCGCGGCTTCATATTCGCGTTCGTTACGTCAGCAACTCCCAAAATTCTCTTTCCAATTAAATCCTTTTAGAGGGCAGTTTTGCTTTGGTGCTACCCATCTCCAAAAAGGTTGCTGGTATCGAATTTTAGGATTCCTTGAGTTTTGATGTATACAGGGTGACGTAAATGTAGTACTTCGTTTCTGTTTTCACGTTTATCAGTTTGCTTGCCGTCTGTATTATAATATGCAAGAAGACATGTTTATCAAAACATTTAAACAGGGAAATTATTAACATTTATCACTCTGTATATGACTTCATTTTCTGTACAAAAAGTTTATCCTGCCACTGAATGTGACATAATAGTGTGTTTGAATTTCATAGTTGTGTTGTCATATCCTGCTATGGCAACAAAAACAACTTTGAGTGAAATTAGCAGTAAGCATACTGCAATGGAGAATTCTTGAAAAAGAAGGCAGTGGAAAGGGAAGTAATATTAGTAATACAGTGTGCTGAAGGTTAAGCAACTATAAGCTGTTTTCCTTTCAATATTCAGAGTACACTCTCTAACAACACGATTCCACATAATATAGGCATTACTTTTGACTTAGCCTGTATACGAGCTGGTTCGCTTCCTGAAGGAATCTTCCGGTTCAAGTTGGTTCCAATATCAACAGAAAAATCCCTGGTCGTTGACCACTAAACTAATTTCCATGTCGTCAGTGCTGTTTGCTTCAGTGATTGTTCTTTCTGCTTAACTTTCTCAGTGATCATTTTGCATGTCACGTAAATCAATGGCCGTAAATCAATGACCGATAATCACTGCTTTTGCATTTTCTACAAAAGCTGAAAAGCCTTCGCAATTTCCTGTATCTGCACATTGTTGGCACCTATTCTTTCGATGGCCGTCCTGTTGATGCATCCCAGGAACACGCTCGATTAAGTTACCACGCTTAATAGGAGATAAAACCGGTCTTTTTTCAAACGATTTTCTATTGATAAATCTCGATAATGTAACACTATTTTGCTTTAAATACTCACATTGGTTTGTTCGCTCGTCTGGTTGAACATTACAATTGAATTGTGAGCTCGATCCTAACTGGGTGCCCCATACAAAATTAGATATTAAATAACTCCAGAAGGGTTGACATGTCGTAAAATCAACGAACCAAGAATCGACATAGGTTAGTTATTCGCAAGACTAGTCTTGTTGGCTGATACAGCTGAGTTGTGGGTTCGATCCTCACTGAGTGCCCCATACAAAATTCAATATTTAATAACCCCAAAAAGCTTGGCATGTCGTAAAATCAACAAAACAAGAATCGGCATAGTTTAGTTGTTAGCGAGACTAATTTTGTTGGTCCTACAGATGAGTTGTGGGTTCGATCCTCACTGGGTACCCCATACAAAATTCGTCATTAAATAACTCAAGAAGCCAACCAACCAACAGCAGATTGGAGTAAGTCTTAGAGTGATTGGCTTTGTTGACTATTATCGCTGAAAAGTGAGTTTTATCTTCGCTGGTTGCCCCTTGTGAAATTCCACATTAAATGAATCGACGTCATATCACGTGACGAGCATCATAACAGATTAAGTACCATTACTTGCTTATTGTGCTTTTAAAGTTTTATCCTTCCTAGAGTGGTTGCCATATAAAGAAAAGAGAGTCAATGATCGAATTCATACGGCATTTCAGTGTCAGAATTTTTAATCAAATGTTATCTAAATAAATTCTATCTGTCTGTCCGTTTGTCTGAAACTCCTCCAACTCGGGCTACACTTGCTCTACATAGACATGTTATACATTTTTGGAATAAGGATGATCCCTGGATTGAAAATCTACCCTTCATCAGGTGCTTGAACATACAGCATTGGGATTTGTGTCCAGATGAGGAGGAAACAGTTAAAAATTCAAATTTTAAAATAACTGAAAAAAATGGTGATTTTAAAAGTTTTTAATTGATATTAAGTTTCACGTAAAACAAATACATTGTGAATTTAATTTTTTTTTGAATTCAGTTTAAAATATGTTCCAGACTTTATGAATTAAGGGAATCAATTTTATTTCTTCAAAACGCCAAGGAATCAGAGTTAAAGTCAGAGATTTCGTGACGTGAGGTTTTGTGATTTTAAAAAACTTCATTTTAGGCCTGAATTGAAATTTCAGCCCTGATCGGTTTTTCGGCCCAAATCGGTCTTTAAAGTGAGGTTTTGAAGTTCCATGGAGTGAATTGAGGAATTCAAAGTTATTTCTTCAAAATTATCATTGCTGTTTTCTAAGCTGGACCAGAGGTCCATTTAGTTTTAGGCTAGAGACTCAATTAGCCCTACACAGGAGCTAGCTTAAAAGTCCGGAAGGAGTGCGTTTTTTAAGCTGGTTTTATATAGTTTCATTTTAAGCTAGTTTCATATAAAAAAGAAATAAAATAAAGCAAATAATTTGACGGCAAATTCGGTATTTATTTATTTATTTTTTGTCTACAAACATATAATCATTCCAGGAAGCTTTGTTGATCTAAATCAAAATGTAGCATTGCTTATTACATTTGTCTGGATAGCAGGAAGCAACATCTGAGAGAAAATCTCTCCACTGCGATTATAAAAAAAAAGACAAGGCATACACTGATTTTATCAGTTTATATCATGAGTCCAGATATTGAAAATAATCAAAGCAAAAAATCGAATGATACGTTTCCTATCAAATGAGTGCATCGATAAATATTTATGTTCGAAGAAGAACAACATTTCAAATCTGCACGAGAGAGAAATCAACAGAATGAAACAAAAAAAAAAAAGCCAAGTTGTAAGGAAGAAGATAATCATTGGAGGAATTCAGCCGTAAAATAGAAGTTTATAGCGCGCATAAATCACCGCATGACGGACAGAAAGGGGTCAGTTTCTCCAATAGGAGATCATATAATCTGTAATATAGAAACACTTTCACTCAAGTCTGGAGATGATCTTAATAACATTTTCAATAAAGGGAAACTGTGACGTGTGTAACAAAAATATATGATATGCAATTTCGTTCAGATTTTAATTAAAAAGAAATGCTTTTCAACTTCATATTGAACATAGTCAATCTCAGATTTGACGAATCAATTTCAAAATGAGAAAAATTTCACTCGAAGGAAATTTGATTAAGAACCAAGAATTACATTTTATTCTCATAAATATGAGATATTTTATAAAATACAATAAAATAATTATTCTTGGCAGAATAATCTCCTCGTCCAGGTTATCATATTGTAATTAATATATAAATAACTCCAACATGTTATAAGCAACATACATAGAGATATCTTTAAGGGAATTTCAACCACCGCGCCTATGCACATTAGTGCGCCGCGTGATCCTCTTAAGTGTGCCGCGGCATACATATAAAGGGTGATTAAAAAGTAACTCCCTATTTTGTGTATAATGAA